GCTTTGCGCATGCGCCGGTCAGAAGTGACGCACGCGGAAACGCAGTGGAGAGATCAAAACAAAACAACGGTCACTTATTAGAAGTACAGAACGAGGATTTGTAAAGAAGAATGTCTGAGGATTTCGATATAAGCCAAGAGGAGACTGGTTTTCCTTTGCTAAAGTAAGGAAACTTTGCTTCCTTTGCTCCTGTTAACAAACGTTGGTTTTCACGAGACTCACCGGCGCATGCGCAATGCTGAATTCATACGTTATCCACCCGGAACTGCTTCAGTGTACAACTGTTGGCGCAAGCTACATTAAAGTGATTATTACGTTTTGAATATGGATATTTTTCTTACAAAAACGCATCGATTCGCTACAGGAGGCCTTTGTTCCCCCCCCGGAGCCGTGTGAGACACTTTTTTTAATGGATGGGAGCTTTTTATTTAACTTCTTTTGGACTGATGCATGCAACACCCGCTGAGTGGCATTAAATAGCTTGAAAGATCAAAGACAATTTTTAATATAACTCCGACTGGATTCGTCTGAAAGAAGAAAGTCATATACACCTAGGATGACATGAGGGTGAGTAATTTATGGGCTAATTTTCATTTTTGGGTGAACTAACCCTTTAATCAAGTTGCACTGGAAGCATATTTTAAGTCATTTTTTGCCCAATTCCATTTTGTGACACCAGGGGCATCAAAAATACACTTCACCATTGACCACAGATTAAAGCAACTACATGCAAGTTGTATCCTAAATGTAAGTTTATATCATTGAAATATCAGTTCTAAATCATTCTGATGGTACACAGACGTCTAATAAGGCAAAGGTTTGTCTTGTCCAAATGTCTGTTCTGGGGGTAAGTTTGGTGAGCGGATACAAAAGTCTGTGAAAAGGGTAGATTGCTTTATGGCTGCAACAAATACATGTGTACTGCTATCCACTGTAAAAACGGCAGTGATATTATAAATGCCTTTTTGGTATTAAATACAAAAAAAACCCAACAAAGACTACATAAAGTTGCTTTAAATAAATTCAAAAATCATCAATTCATTTATAGTTAGCAGCAAAAATCCCTTAAAATAAATCGGTCACAAAATAGCCCATCTAAAACTGCTGCTTTGTCTAGCATAAACTATACAAAATGAGAAAAGAAAAATCTGTTATAAAACAGATAAGCAGAATTAGATTTAAACAGAGCACAGACATTTTTATGGAATTCTGTAGAAAAAAAACACTGCATAAACCTTAAAACTTGCTTGTGAGATGGAGTGTCTTGTTTTTTGTTGACTCTATACACTATCCAACAAGTGGCTAACACCGTGTTCTATCTACATGCAACGCCACGACACACAACAACAGATAGTTTACCTCAGATCTTGAAAATCAATTAAATGTACATTAAAACTGATAACTTGATGCGAACCAGCAAGTGTATTCCATAAAGATGGTATCAGTCACTCAGTATGTACTTTTAATTATGTTAAAAAGGTTTAACATTTATGAATTAGATCATAAACCTGTTCATTTGGTTGGGAGTGCAGTGCACCTCTGCGCTTCTGATCGGCTGTGATATTTGAGTGATTTGGTCGCGTCTGGTGTGGACATCCAAATTGCTTGTCACTGGAATCTTGTTGCTTCTGGTTAGGTCGGTGTAAGAGTTTTCAACAATTGCAATCACAGTTAACTTGTCTTCTGCAGTATTTTTTTTTTTTTTATAAAAATGTATTACTATAATTTATGATTGAAGTTATAATGCGTGTTCTGGGGAAGTTCTGGAACCAATCGGGGTCTAACGCCTGTTTCACACATACTCCGATTGCAGTGCGGATTTTTATCCGTGCACATGTTAACAGGTTAGAGCATTCATACTGCACATGGATGTGGTCCGACAACGCATTCCAGGAGAGGTGCGTATGCAGCGATCATTTCCGCACAGTGTTTTTTTTGTTGTTGTGCTGAATGCGCTGAATGAAAGTGACAGGGCATTGTTCACAGTAAAAATTAATTTTTTTTTGCAAAAATGTAGTAATTCCAATCCTAAATGCATAAGTCTACTGTTTCACAGTCAACATGTCTTTCTGGCTAGGTTTACAGCAAGAAAAAGTGCGCAACAAGGTGACACAATGGATGGCACTCATCAATATAGGAAATACAAAGCTCTTTATGACTGGCAGGATTGCTTATGATAAAGTTTTAATTGCAAATGAAAAAAGCATGAGAGTCGACTGCTTCTGTTAAAGATAAATTTAATTTTAAAATGTTTGTGATGGCCTACTACCTTTGAACATAACAAAAGTAGGCTATTTACTTTTAAACCTAAAGTAGGTTTAAATGTTTTACCACCTGCTCAAGCAACTTAATATATAAATCTATAAGTAAAATGCATTGAATACGCCGTTTATATTTATTGTGTTTAAATGTGATTACATCTATGAAAGATTGTATTACTGTACTGTGATTTTGAGATTAAAACAATGGATAAATGTTGTGTTTGTAGTATACAGCCACTGATCAGTAGCAGACTGCAAACATGTCCTATGTGAAAGCACAATGTGCCTGTGCTGCTTCTGCACTGCATATGTGCCACACACAGGCTGCATTTGCACTACAACCGGAGTATGCAGTACTTCCCACTAGGGCTGTGCGATTAATCGAAATCGCGATTTGAGACGTTGCGATTTCCTAATCGCAAAGCCTGCGATACCCTATTACCCACAGCACAAAAATGATCAATTGTCAATAATGTGACAAATAACAAATAATGTGTGATTTTTAACAATATTTTTATTTATTGCATAGGCTACTATTACATTTAATTGCATTGTAAATTATGCATAATTACAGCATTTAAATGGTAGGGTTCTCCTGCTTTGTGATATAGTGTCTCTCTCAGTGAATGGGACACAAATTTTACTGATACTAGTAAAATCTATATATTGAATATGTGTCAAATAATGTTCTTTGACTTTTCTTCCTGTGGGGAAGCATCTCAGCCAGAAACTACAATAGTTTACTATAAATTAAATGGAGATTAAATTAAATCCAATTAATTGTGTAACAAAAATACCAATAATGCCCAGGAAAACAAAAACAAAACGTGACTTTTAATTATATATATAAAAAAAGCCCGAAATACACTGGAATACACTCTTATTTTGAAAGGACTATACTATTGCGGGCTGATCCTTCAGATAAGAGATAAAAATATGCATTCTTACAACCGTCTAAAACATTATATAAAGGTCAAAGTAGACCGTCATAATTCATCAACTCAAGCTCATAAGCAATCGCTTGGCATAAATGCAAGTTATTCACTGTTGCGCGAGCCTGTAGAACATGCAACAGTGCCGCCTTGTGACACTGCAACATGCAAGTGGTATTTTTTTTATTAAATCATAGGCTTTTGAAGTTTAATCATCAATAGGATGCATCGCGATTCATGTTTTTCCATCCCCAAAATATAAGACACCTTAAAATGATCATTAAAGGAACACTCCACTATTTTTGAAAACAGGCTCATTTTCCAACTCCCCTAGAGTTAAACAGTTGAGTTTTACCGTTTTCTAATCCATTCAGCCGATCTCCGGGTCTGGCGGTAGCACCTTTAGCTGTAGCTAATCAGATTCAATGATCTATGCTATGCTACAGCTAAAAGTGCTACCGCCAGACCCGGAGATCGGCTGAATGGATTAGAAAACGGTAAAACTCAACTATTTAACTCTAGGGGAGTTGGAAAATGAGCCTATTTTCAAAAACAGTGGAGTGTTCCTTTAAGACGTTAGTTTTACCATTTCATGTATTGAAGACTTTGACATTAAATTTAAGAAAACTCACCCGAAGGGATTTTGCTTTATTCGCACATGTGCTCCTAAATGCATTTTACAGTTCACACACATCTATTTTTAGTTGCAAATGTGACTGAAGCTCCCACACTATCAAGAAGTGTGTTTGTCTGTGAAATATCCACTTCATCTCTGCAGCGCACGTGGGAATGTCAATGGGAGTAAACCGTTCTCACCCATACAGAACGAGCAGATGCGAAAAGTGTAGGGCGAGGGGAGATGTTTCACTAGTTAATCGATCGCGGAGTGTTTAATTATTTCGGGTGGATAAAAAAAAAAATATATATAAGAGGATAAAAATAATAAAAGCAAAAATGTTTCTCCAAATATACTTGGGTGACCATTAATATACCTGGGCGGCCCGCCCAAGTAAAGTCTATGTGTGGGAAACACTGGTATGAGTGAAATGGGAGTAATTTGTAAACCAAAGTCAAATTTTCAAAAAACCCAAGTTAAACTGTTTAAGCTATATTTCCAATACTGATATAGGACCATCAAACCATATGTATCTTAATAGTCAAGTTGTTCAATGTCAATGATAAATACGAGCTTTAAAGGGGTGGTTGATTATGATTTCAATATTTTAACTTTAGTTAGTGTGTAATGTTGCTGTTAGAGCATAAACAATGTCTGCAAAGTTACGATGCTCAAAGTTCAATGCAAAGGGAGAATTTTTCTTTTAAAGAAATCACTTTTTAAGGACTATAAAAAAAAAGGCTGGTAAGGACTACAACGTGCTTCTTCCCGGGTTGGTGACATCACTAACCCCGATGTTTACATAAACCCTGCCCCCGGGAACATGCAACTACCCGTAATGGTAAGGGGGCATGACGTTTCTGGACAACGTGATTAGCGAATCACAACACGTTGGGCCAGCTAACCAATCTGAGCCCACTGCGTATTTCTGAGGGAGGGACTTCATAGAACCAGGAACTCAACAGTTAAAAAAAATGAAAATAATGCAGTTTTTAAAAACAAAGCATGAACACGTTACACTGCACCCCATGAACACAAAGCCTTCAAAAAAAGCTGATCAACCACCCCTTTAAATTGTAATATAAAGGGGTCCATTCGCAACGACCTTTAAGATGAAAAAATGCACTAGATGCCTATATGTCTTATTTATGTGTCTGGTGTCAGATGCCTGACACTTCACAAATTTAATCATTGTGCCAAGAACACCTGATTGGGGTTTTGGAAAACCAACTGCACTCTTTATTGAAAATGTACATGTAGTATTTTAAATGTGAATGGCACAGAACACAGCCATAGTAAGATCAGGACAACTTACAATATTCACCAGTATAACACAAGTAACATGACAAGATAAAGACTAGTAAGAAAGGGGATTACATGTTTTGTAGCACTAAGCCAGCGCTAACTTCAATGGTTTTATTATTAAACCTATTAAGAATACAAAATAAAAATAGGACGAAAAAAAATCTTGCCACAAAAGGGATGAGTTTTCAGGCTAAAACTGCAAGAAAATTCTTTAAACTTAAATACATCAATTGTGACACCAGAACCAAGCCTCTGGATTTCCACAAACTTTGATTTTAAAGTGCCAGATCAGAAGCGTGGCTTCTTGGCAGATCCTTCATATTCCTCACGGACCCTGCCAAATCCTGGGTTTCCACCACCCATGCCCCTTGGACCCCCTGGGCCACCTTGCAGGAAACGCTCATTGCGCTACATGGACCATTTTCAGTTATGTATCAGTCGGGTATTAAGTTTTGTAGAAATTATGGCGTTTACGTCCATGGGTAGGGGAGAAAAGCAACAAAGGGGTAACAAGTTCCATGAGTTCCAAGAGTATTTTGAGCAAAGTATTATAAAAGTGGGATCCAAGGAAAACAATCGGCGAAACCGTTCCAACACGCAGATCCACAGGTGCCACAGGTGACATAGGAAAAGGAAGAGAGGGTAATGTATTCATTAGTCAAATCCCATTACATTGCATTCCAATAGCGCTGCTATGATACTGCAGGAAACAATTACTAGCCCCATTTGCATGGGGGATTTTGAAGCAGAAACGCGTTGGATGCCCCAAACTTATTATGGCAGAGAGGTTTGTACTTTGATTCAAAAACCCTCTGAGCCATATGGGCAACTACCAACTCCTCACATTATGAACACAAATTAGCTTTAAGAATTAAGGTGTAACACTTTACAATAAGGTTCATTAGTTAACATTAGTTAACTACTTTAGTTAACATGAACTAAGAATGAACAATTCTACAGCATTTATCTTAGTTAGTTAATTTCAACATTTACTAATGCATTATTAAAATCAATACATTAGTTAATACATTAACTAATGGAACCTTACTGTAAAGTGTTACCGAATTACGTTATTCTGTTTCCTAAAATCCTTAAATTGTTTAAGTATTTATGAAGGGTTTTACTTAAATATTATACATAATACATTTGAAAGTGTGTCACTTTTTCATTCAAAGAGATTTGGTGATTTTAGGGGGAAAAAAAAAAAGTTAGTAAAAATTTCATTTTTTCATTCAAACTATTTAGCCATCAAATAGTTCAATGTTAAACCATGTTCAATTTGTCAGTTCAGTTTGTCATAAACAGCGTTTATCTGGTACTTGTCAGCACATGCAGTAGTGATGCTGGTTAATTGTATGAAATGGAATATCTGCAAACGTGACAAACACCTAAGTTTGCAGTTAAAATGCAAACAGCATTTTACTAATTTACATCTAATTTCAAACTGTTCAAGATTAGCCCATCTAGACTAACAACAGAAAAAAATAATGCAGTGGATTGTAGTTTTCCAGATTTTATATTATAATTCTTTAAAAACTTTCAAAGCATTTGGCTATTTAAGTTAAAATGAAACACTGCAACTGCACATTAAGAATTTGCAAAAATAACTACCATTATATCCGCTTGAGTCCAATTCTTTCAGCAAAATAGGTTGACCACTTAAAGTCAACATGAAACAGCACTTGCAATCCATTTTTTTTTCTCCGTAAAGCAACATTTTAGCGAAACAACAGTCAACAAGGGAAAAAAAACTCCATGGCAAAGTCAGATTTGAAGGTGAGTGGAGGACTATTTCCCTCCTAAAACACAACCAGCACTCATATGACAAAATGTAGGTGGCCGTGGATTTTAGAGGTGGAGCAAGTAATAACATTTGATAAATATTACAAAAATAAAATAAAATAAGAATAACATGCACAATAAAAACACTAACGTGTATTGAAGGAAGTAGAAGGGGTTCATTTTGACGTTAGAGTTAACAATGAGAGATCTACTTTTAACAATCAGATATACGACTAAAATGTTTACAAAATACTTGCCTTCAGACACTTATAAAACAATTCATACCATTTCAATACAAAATCAAGCCTATTTGCTTTGCTAACAGTATTGTATTAATAAAATCATAATAAACTTTTGACATTATACCAATACCAGGTTTTACATTTAACAACAAAATGAGACAATGTCCATATAAAAGGTTTCACTTACACATTCTACTCATTAAAAGCCCTTTGAAAGTTGGAGATATATTATTGATACTTGAAGCCTATTGGAAGGAAAGGCCAATTCCCATATTCATAACAGCACTGCCTGTAACTAATGCATCAAAAGTAGGGCCCTATGATTTCTGCGATGCGGAAAACGCAGACGGAATCCAGTCATAAAAACGGAATTTACTGAATAACGCGGAATGTCACGGAATTTGTCCAATTTTGAATGAATTAATCAAAAGTAGGTCATTACACTTAAAGGGTTAGTTCACCTAAAAATAAAAATTCTGTCATTAATTACTCAACTTCATGTCGTTTCAAACCCGTAAGACCTTCGTTCATCTTCAGAACACAAATTAAGATATTTTTGATGGAATCTGAGAGCTGTCTGACCCTGCATAGACAGCAATACAACTGAAATGCTCCCAAGTCCAGAAACGTAGCAAGGAGATCTGTAAAATAATCCAAGTGACATCAGTGGTTCAACCGCAATTATAAGAAGCTACGAGAATACTTTTAGTGCGCAAAAAAACAAAACAAAAAAACCCCGACTTTATTCAACAATTCGTCTCCTCCACATCACCCTGGTGCCATTTTGGAGAGTATCCGCTGGACGTAAACAACTTATGCTATTCTGTGTCAATTTGTGTTCCAAAGATGAACGGAGGTCTTATGAGTTTGAAACGACATGAGGGTGAGTAATTAATGACAGAATTTTCATTTTTGGGTGAACTAATCCTTTAATTCAAACCGCTATATGGACTAGTATCTGTAAATATTAAGCCGCAAAAATACTATTTAAATATTAATCCTGCATGTTCTGTGTCTCTCTCTGTGTGTGTGAATGGCACAGACACGCGGTTTCACTTACTACACACATACTGAAGAGCACGTGACGCTCGCGATGATTTCAGTGTCTGTCGTCTCACTAAATGAGGACATAAATACATGAACAACATCTCCAAAACTGTTCTGAGAGTCACTTCACGAGCATTTTACCATTTAGTAAAAGCATTGAGCAAAACTAGCGTCATATCATATACACACAGAACTGTAAATATTCACGGCAACCAGTCAAATTAAAGGTCCGGTTTAATTTGAAGACATTTGTACCAGAAATATATTACTTTTGTTCAGTAGATTGTACATAGACTACTACTACTACTAGAATGAAACAAACATTATCTTTTTAGTGTACAATCACACAACATTTCTTCCATGTTTTAATTTTAATTGTAAATTGATTGACAAAAAATTATATTTTGCTTAATTTTCAATAATGAAAAGACATATTAAATTAACGTTATATGCCTTCATTTGATAACCAGAAAAATTTAAGTAGACAACAGAATTTCTGAGGGGAGAACATTTTTTTTCATAAGGCTATTGGAATCCAGAAAAATTAACACGGAAAAAATTGAATTTGGGAAAAAATAAAACGGATTTCATAGGGCCCTACAAAAGGTTCAGCTATTTAAAAAAATACTGATTCAACAAATTCAACAATGTAACAATCTGAAAGGCACTGGCCTTGCTGCTGAATTACTTTGCTGCAACACACTTCCCAGCAAGGGCTCAGGACAGGTAAACGTAGCACAAATTCACCATGTATGGACTTAAAAAGGCTTAAATGACAAGTCACAGTGTAGCCAAGTCATTAATGCAAACTGCTGTAGTAATTTTGAGACAAATGCTTAAACTCTTACATTAAAACAGCAATATCTAAAAGCACACTAGATAAGACGCAATGAATTATTTCTTGGTGATTAGAGAAATGTGTGCCATGTCCAAGGAAAACTCCCCATCTCTTTTTTTTTTTATTATAGCAAATATGGGTCAAACCCAACCTCAACCCCACTCTCACCATTCAATATCAACAAAATGTAAGTATGTATGCCAACCAACACATCCCCAACCAGCTCCTCGAAAGCTCAGCCACATCATTTTCAGTCACTGTAACTTCATGTCACATTCATTTTGTGCTTAAGTTGCTTTTAAGTCTATCTGCACTAAATGCCCACAGTCTGTCGACACTACAAAAAAAAAAGAGCTCAAAGCATGGAAACAGCATTTCCATGTGGGTACCATCGCAGCACTGACATGACTTTGTCATGGATTTGCAGCAATAAACTAAAAAAAACCTAGAAAAGTATTTCACCACAAAACAAGCACAGCATGTCATAGGGTATTGTTTCACCACATATTGTTTCACCAGGCTTTGTGTTTGAAAAGATGGCACATTGCTAATTTAAAGACTACACATCAAACAGAGCGCAAACATGCCTGTCTTTTCTGCAATTTAGACAGGACTTACAAGTATGTGTTTGTAATCAAACAGTTGTATAAAAATTATTGGGCTTTTAGTACAGACAGACATCCAAAGTAACAAGAGAAGGAAAGTGAGGACAGCTGAGCTTGAGCGCTGACAATGACTTCTGCCACTAGATAGAGACAATATAATCGAATCACAACAGGGATCAAAACACACTGGCCACCGACGAGTCTAGAAATAATCCATCCACACCTAACTTCCACACTAAACCTTCAAACACAAAATGGCCTTGGTTCCTATGAACCACAACAGCTCAATTCAAAGATTATCAGGCATACAAAACACACATACACACGGACCACATTCACTCTCGATTTCAACTCAGGAATACATTACCATTTCGTTGGACACCATGCCCCCTGGTGCTTGTCCCCCCATTCCCTGGAGTCCTTCAAAATTCATTCCTGCCAATGGGAACTTTTGGCTGGGTGACCCAAACGGCATATCTGTTTATTAAAAAAAAAATGCATACATTAGTATCATTAACCCTGTAAAGTCATAAAAAAATAATTTATGGTTTTGTGGTATATTTGATAAATCAGGCTTTTAACGGCCTATAGTATGATATAATGAGAATAAGCAGATCACACTCAAAAAGGGAAAAACTACTTACATAAAATGCAGACTAATCACAAAATACATGTGCTGTCAATCTATAGTAGTGCTGGGCGGTATGGCCAAAATGTATATCACGGTATTTTTCACTGATTGAGAAAGGAAATACTGCAGTATATTGACTTAGAATGCCCTATTTTACTGTCATGATGAGTGAATATTGTCAAAAAATACCACACTAAATAGTGACTAAACACGACCCCTTTTAAAGGGGTCTAACCAGGAGTCACTCTTTTTTCCTTTCTCTTTGGAGTGTTACAAGCTCTTGGTGCATAAAGAAGATCTGTAAAGTTGCAAACACTAAAGTCTCAAAACCAAAGAGATATTCTTTATCAAAGTTAAGACTCTGCCACGCCCCCCTAAAACGGCTCGTTCTAACACGCCCCCAACATATCTACCACACTATGTGGGAAGATTTGCATAACGCAGCCCAAATGTTCACGCAAAGAAAGAAGGCATAACTTTTATTCTCGCTGTAGTATTGATACATTTAATACATTTCCGTCACACGCTTGAGGAATTGCTAAGGTTTATCCAAAAAAGTCGCTAGGTTTGTCAGTATGAATATTCTATGGGAAAAAGCAGCTAAATGGGTCTGAAAGTTGCTAAATCTAGTGCTAAAGTCGCGCTCGTGTTTGTGAGACGCGGGAGCTGATGGCAGGGGGCGGTGGATATTTGTGGCGGTCAATGTGGATATTGTGGATGAGTTCTTCTGTCATCACGTTCTACAGCTTCAGTTTCGGAACTTTCACGCTTAGTAACACATACAGCTGTTCCCTCACCACAGTGCAACAGTGAAAAGGGACCCCTTTCAAACAGTCGCGTTCCGAACGTTAAGTGACATACACCGGTATAGCGGTATTTTAAAAATTCATATCATAAAAATAAAAACAGGTATTCGGTATGAACCAGTATACCACCTAGCACTAATCTATAGCTCTCGATAGTCTTAGTAAGATTACATTTCTATGCTTAGTTTTATGATCAAAGCTCAGTAGTTTTTCTTGTGAGGGGCAAAAATATATAACGCAACACAATGTGAGTTGAGAGATGTACAAATATGCATTCTTTAAAAGCCTGTTGTGTTCTATTTGATAAATACATTATTTTTCCTAAAAAATAATATAGATAAAACCAAATCTAATTTGCTTCAATCAAGTAAATGTTCATCTTGAAATATTACTACAACATAAGTTGTTTACTTTGTAAAAACCATTGATTTCACAGCAAAAGACACATTTACCATGGCCTGAAGGCGGACATTATCATAATTATACTAAAGCTTTTTACTAGAGATGCACCGATTGCAATTTTCTTGGCCGATTCCGATTTTTTGTTAGTGTTATTTGCCGATACCGATTTTTGCCGATTCCGATTTTCTTTCTAAGAACTATAATTGACTGCATTAGAAGAAAAGTAGATTTTTGTTTGTATATGCTAAGTTTTATTTTCATAAAAAAAACAAGTAGAAAGTCAGTAATAAAATAAGAACAAATAAAAAAATTAAAAACAACAGCACAAATAAATGCAATAGAATAAAGAGAGCTATGAAACGAAGTTTTTCAGGTTAAGCAAGTTATTATTCATGTAAGAAATACT